ATATGCTCTCTGAATACACTTAAGTTCATACGTCAGTCAAATTGCACACTAAAGCTCAAAGATGCTGATTTTTTTTTTTTTAAGGCAGGAATTAAGTTTGTCTTATTTCTTTAGAAGAGAAGACCTTTAAGAATGTTTCTGGATTGTGTCTAGAGTTCCGCTTGGTTTAATGAAGCCTAACCTAGAAATATGAACTTCCCTATGTAGGATGAAAGCGGTGACTTTCAGATATAGCTGTAGACACCCGCCAGCACTACCCGACAGAACTGTGACCTTGTAGGAAACCCAGTTTAATTTATTGCCTCCCAGGGAATGTGACCAACAGGAATTGCCCTTCTTAATGCCTTATGGACAGCTATGACCTGTCTGTGACTTGCGCTCGCTTGCCTTTCAAAGGCTATCCTGAAAGAACGCTGTGCTTTGATGCTGTTTTTAATCATTCTCCCTTCACCCCCCTCCCAAATACGATAGAATTTTTAACCGCCTTTAGAAAAGGAGTAAATTATTGATGACCTTCCTTAGTACGCATGATTCAAACCTGTGCGTTTGCATTTAAACTATTTTAGGAAGCGGTGAAAAAATTTTGTTTTCTGTCTGAAACAGGTTAGAATTAAGATGTCAGTTTGAAATAAGTATTATGAGAATCACTGTGTCCCCATATCCTGCATAATGTGACATCAATTGACTGTTCTGCCACCCTTACTGAAAAAAAAAAAATAAATAAATAAAACAGCATTCAGTTCATTTCTCTGTACCAGCTTCTGAATAATGTCCTTTGCAGATACTTAGTTACTTGAACGGGATGCCATTTGGGAAGCTGCCTCTGGGGGAGAGGATGGGGTGACAGGTAGGCAGTTGATAACATCGGTGGAAGCCGTAAGGAGAAAGATGTCAAGCCCTTTCTCCGTGCCAGCCAACCATGTAGGGTGGATGGGGAAATGGAGGAAGTTGAGGGCAAGTTGCTTGTGCCTTTTCCTTGAAGCCAACTCAGCTGACCCCTTCCTTTTCTACCTTCCTCTGTGTAAAAATGGTTTGTTCATGAATGCCGGCACAGTGTTTCCACCTGTGTGGGGACACAGTATACATTGTATGACATTGTATCCCTTCCCTACACTCGTAAAGACTGTTGCTGCTGACGCAGTGTCTGCAGAGCTGTGGTCCAGTGATATTAAATACAGGTCCAGGACGGCATACCTGAAGGAGACGGCAGGGCAAGCACTTAAATCCATCATCAGCAGGCTGGACGTTATCCTGCTGCTTCTTTTGTTGAATTTAGTTTTTCCCTACTTAGAGGTAGGGCAGCCCTCGTGGCACAGTGGTTAAGCGCCTGGCTGCTAACCAAAAGGTCGGCAGTTCGAATCCACCTGCCACTCCTTAGAAACCCTATGGGGCAGTTCTACCCTGTCCTGTAGGGTCGCTATGAGTTGGAATCGACTCAAACAACAACGGGTTTGGTTTTTTGGGGGTTTTAGAGGTAGAAACAACTTTCAAGCAGAAGGATATGAAAATCGGAAAAGATTTTCTTGAAGTCATCAAAGTATGGCTAGCTACCGTAACGGATCTCAGTCTTAGTGGGCTAATTAAACAAGTTTCTCATTCATGAACAGTCTGAGGTGGGCATTCCTGGGCAGCTGACTCTCTTCCAGGTGGTGGTGCAGGGACCCAGGCTTCTTCCTGCTTATGTCTGTGCCATGTCTATCATAGGGCTCTCAAGGCCCTGAAGGTTATCTGCATTCTAGTCTCTGCGTGTGTGTGTGTGTGTGAGTGTGAGTGTGTGTGACTGTGAGTGAGTGAGAGTGTTTTATGGGCTAGGCCTGCATTCCTTCTCCTGACATTCTGTTGGCTTAGTCAAATGGCTCCACCGTGGAGGGCTTTGTTAAAACAGTTTCCTGGTTCCTTCCCCCAAAATTTCAGATTGAGCAAGTCTGGGATGGGGTCCAAGAATGTACGCTTCTAACAAGTTCCCAGGCGTTGTTGATATGGCCGGGCGGGACCACACTCTCAATACCCTGGTCTGTGACACACTTGTGTGTCTTCATAGCAATCCTGAGAAGTCCCTGAGTGGTGCAGGTGGTTAACACGGCAACAGGTTGGCAGTTCGAGTCTATGCAGAGGTGCCTCTGAAGAAAGGCCTGGTGATCTTCTGGACAGTCGTTGAAAACCCTGTGGAGCACGGTTCTACTCTGACACGCAGTGGGGTTGTGCTGACTCAGAGGTGACTTGATGGCTAGTTTTGGTTTTAATCGTGAGAACCATAAGTGTCTTTATTATAGCGACTCTTAGGATAGGAGGGAAGGGGAGGGGTAAGATAAAGTCTTGGCCGGGCCAAGACCATAATTAAAAGTGGAAGATTCTTAGAGGAATTGGCGTTTTGGAGGACTAAGAACTGGACAGTCACATGCTAATGGGTGACTGTACCTTGATCTGTAGGACAGAGGATTGCTGCTTGGCAAGGCGTTTTCAGCTTTATTAGCCCGTGGGAACCACGTGACTTTGGGGAGTAGGAGTATTTGGAGAATAAAGTACACACACAGGTACAGGACAGGTGATAGGGAGACAGTGAACGTCCTCCTCACTTGAGGGAGGACTTGAGTGAGAATCGAAGGAAAGTTAGGGATTGGTAGAGTGGACAAGCCGGGATGCTGGATGCATATGAGCTGGGCTTAGACTCATATCACGTTGAGAGGTATCACGCTGGACAGGTTTGAGGCTCAGGGTAATCAGTAAAGTGGGGATAATGTCTGACTGTTCGAGTTGCTGGGTGGTGCAAACAATTAATGCACTTGGCTGCTAATCAAAAGGTTAGAGGTTGGAATCCATCCAGACGCTCCTCGGAAGAAAGGTCTGGTAATCTGCTTCCAAAAAATCATCCATTGGAAGCCCTATGGAGCATGGTTCTGCTCTTGATATACATGGGATCACCATGAGTTGGAGTTGACATGATGGCAACTGATTTCCTGTCTACCTGTTAGGTTATAAGAGTTAGGTTGGAGGATCCCAAAATTTTTTGGCTCATGGTGTCCCTAGGCTAAAAGAAATATCTAACAGTTGTATTCATTAGTTAAGTCCAAACAACTTCATAAGTATTTATGTCCTAACCACTCAGTAGCCATTTGAGAAAAATAATACACAAATTGAAAAACATGTCTTTTTCTTAAAAAAAAAATGCAATTACTTATTAATGGAGTGTGTGCACTACACAGCTTCTCAAACCTTGGAATCAGATTGAACACACCTGCTCTCTTGTTCTGGGCCACAGTGAAGTTTGCTTTTTATCACAGCAATTGCTGAAAACTAAGCTTTGCAAAGATGTGATGCCATTAAAAGCAATGTAGCCCAATCTAATGTTGAAACTGTGAGGACCACGGTTAGTGCGGACAGTATCTGACTGATGTTGAGTATGGCTGTTGTCCTCAAAAACGTAAAAGGATAGCTTACCGCGCCTCTGAGTTCCCTGTAGTGATCCAGGTGCCTTGCCACACAGATTGGGAACTCTCGAGTTTTTTTTCCTTCATTCATTTAACAAATGTTAACGATCAGTGAAGTGGCAGGCACTGTGCTGGGCACGGGGGAAGACAGAGTCTTGCCTCCAAGGAATGTAATGTCTCGTGGGAAAATAGACACTGAACCAGGTGATCACACAGATGTAGACTCTCCCACTGGGACCAGTCCCATGAAGAAGTTCAAGGTGCTATGAAAGAGGGTAGGAAGAATATTGGACCTGATTGGGAGAGACTTTCTCTCGGAGTTGACCCTTGAGCTGTGTCAGCTGAAGGCTGGTAAGAAGTTAACTAGGCAGGAAGGGGAGGGAGCTGTGCTCTAGGCAGAGGAAGTAGTATTCTGGGCAAGTATTTCTCAAGCTGTCTTGGTGAAGGATCTGTCTTTATTTATTTTTCATTGCACTGTGGTTGGATTATGACCAGTATATAGCTTGTGTGTGCAGTCATGTTTTACATCTGAGCTATTTAATGCAATGACTTCTCTGAGCGTGCTGGAGGTTGAAGGAAAGCCACATCTCAGGAAGAGTTTTCAAAAGCCTATAATGGACTGGTAACAGTTTGTGGACTACACTGAGTAGCTGCTTTAAACGGGAAAGAGCATATGCAAAGGGCCTGTGGTGAGAGGCACCTTGAGACTGAGGGAGAAGTAGGTGAAGAATGTGATACCAGTGTGGGTGGAACAGAAAGTGGGAAGGCTGGAAAGTCCACAGAGGCTGGGCTTGGTCTCTAGACCACAGGAAGAACTGGAATCTTAAGCGAAGACATTTTCAAGTTGTGTTGACTACTTCCTAGTTGAGAGATTGAGGCTGTAGAAAGGCCAGATGCTTGGTGAGGCAGATTTGTTGAATGATTTAGGTGACTTGCAGTTCCCCTTCTTTTACCTGGAATCGGTGGTATTTCAACCTTCCAGAGCACAGAGGGAATTCTTGCCTCTTTGTTGGGGAAAATTACAAAGGAAGGCACCGGAGTGTGCCCAGGTGGTTGCATAAGCACCTGTAGTATTCCAACAGAATGATGCCTTGAAAACAGCTGATTAGAGCCCCTGAGACTGGCCAGGTGCCCAGGCTCCTCATGGCACCTGTGCTACCTGGGTGTGAAATGACCTGCTTGGAGGCTTAGTGAATTCGAGCTGTTCCTGTGAAGTCATGTGGAACGTGTGGTGAGAGTCTGTGTCAAGCTGCATCCACCATCCTTTTGCTTTTCTGAGGTCTAATGTGGCATCTGTGGGCACTGGGGGGAAGTGGTGGCCATTGCACCCGATCTGAGTGGACCAGCCTTGCTGCCGTGGCCCATTACAAACGCCACGCTTGTTTAAGAATCCAGTGTGCTCTCCCTCCTCATGGGCTGACTTCCATGGGGTACCACCTGGGAGGGGTTTTGATTTCCAGCTTTACGGATTCAGAGCCTGATGCCGAGTAAGGCTTACTTTGCTTCTCTGCTTTGGTACGTGGGATGGGCTGGGGAGGAAAAATGATGCACTGTGGTTCTCTGTCTGCACAGGTACTTTGTGCTGGATTTTGAGACTGGCATCCTGCAGTATTTTGTGAATGAACAAAGCAAACACCAGAAACCGCGGGGAGCCCTTTCGTTAGCCGGCGCCATCGTGTCCCTGAGCGACGAAGCGCCCCACATGCTGGTCGTGTACTCTGCTAATGGAGAGATGTACAAACTGAGAGGTACAGTCTTCTCCTGGTAACGCTGCAGACTGGCCGCACGGGCTGCGTTCATAGTTGCCATGGTGATGGTGGGGGGCGGGCGGGTGTTAACCACCTTTAACAGTTTGCTGTATTCGAGGGCTCTGTGGTGACAGATGCCTCTCTTACCCCAAGGGTGGGGAGATGGAGCTGACATTAGGAGTGGCTTGTCCTAATTAACTGAGGAATTAAGGACAAGGAAAAGGTGAGGGATTTCAAAGCTAGCTGAGCTTTGGAATGTTTGAAGACTTTTTCTGTTAAAAACCAAAACCAAACCCGTTGCCTACGAGTCGATTCTAACTCATAGTGGCCCTACAGGACAGAGTAGAACTGCCCCATAGAGTTTCCAAGGAGCGCCTGGTGGACTCGAACTGCCAACCCTTTGGTTAGCAGCCGTAGCACTTAACCACTGCATCAACCAGGGTTTCCAAAGCTCAGTGTGTATTTCCTTTGACTTTGTGGTGTGAATCATCACAGCAGTGCCCTGGGCGGGGATGGCTGTGCTGTGAGGACAAGAGGAGCTTTGAAGGGTCACGGTCCGCTCCCAAAGTCTCCCTAGAACCATCTTTTAGTAAAGAGCCCTATTTGCTCTAGAATTGTTTTCACTTAGTTTCATTCAATCCGTTGTAGTATTCCAGCCTGTTGAGACCAACTGGTGCTGTTAATTTTCCTTTGTATGCTTTCTCCCATTCCCTTTGCTTCTCGAATCTGAGGTATGCTCAGCATCCTTGGCAGTGAAGATGGTTCTTGAGAGAGTCTAGTGTTTAGCTGTAACAGGGGCCCTGGGGTGGTGCAAATGGCTGCTAACCAAAAGTTGGTGGTTCAAGTCCACCTAGAGGTGCCTTGGAAGAAGGGCCTGGCGATCTCCTGAAAAATCAGCCATTAAGCTCTATGGAGCACAGTTCTCCTCTGGCACACATGAGGCCACCGTGAGTTGGAGTAGACTCAATGGCAGCTGGTAGATCCCCCAAGGCAGATCCACCACACACATTTTCAGAAATGCCAGACTTGATTGTAGCAGGATAATTGGATCGCTAGACCATTCTACCAGGATTCTGTTATGGTTACATTGCCGTGATTCTTCTGTCAATTTTCTTCTAATAATAAAATAACAAACCAAAATGGCAACAGACAAACAAAAATCCAAATGTGCACACACATACATACTCAATATTATTTGTTAAGATCTGTGGAAAGGTAGTATGTATTAAGCATTGAGGGGTGCTTAGTCATTCTGCCTTCTTATATGTAATGTTTTTCTCTGCTGGAGTAAAGCTACAGCACAAAGAAAAGGCCCGTATCATCTCTCTCTGATAACCGGGGAGCTGACCATGACAGGCAGCCTCTGCGAAGCCAGAATGAAGGCCTAGATTCCTCATCTCTCGGTCTAATTCTCAATGTTCTAGCGCCAAGCTTTGTATACGGTAACACAATCCCACACCAAAGACATGGAACAAATTAAATTTTATTATTGGTACACAAGTCATGTTTTAGAATCTGTAGAAACAATCCCAAAATCTATGAAATAAAAATGCGTATAGTCGAAGGAGAAGGTTTTTTGGGAAAACGTGCTAAGATGCATGTTCTCTTGTGACATTCATGCAGTACACTGTCCAGCTGGCTAGATTTATGTGGCGTTGGGCTTGGCTTTGCTGGTTATTGCTTAATAAATTGTCAGAGCAGAAACAATAGCAGGTGAAAAACTTAATGGCACTTTTTTTTACCCTGCCTGTGGTTTATGAAATGGCCCAAGCACATACAAAAGAAAAATCCAACTAATATGACAATTTAGCCATTACATTTGCCTTTGAGTTGTTATTCTCTGGATGAGTAAACCCCAGGGTTTTCTCTTTCTTTTTTTTTTAAGGATAATTTTAATAGCAACTATTAGAATTTTGGAGCCATGGTAGTGTAGTGGTTAAAAGCTCAGCTGCTAACCAGAAGGTCGGCAGTTTGAATCCACTAGCCGCTCTACCCTATGGGGCCGTTCTACTCTGTCTTACAGGGTCGCTCTGAGTCAGAATTGACTCAACGGCAACGGGTTATTAAAGTTTTATTATCTGTGTGAAGTAATCACAAGGGCTTTATCTGACAAGGAGATGAGCGTTGGTTTTTCATTTCCCATCACACCTACATGTCCACGGGTTCCTACAGCGTGACGCCTTCCAGCAGAGTTCTGTTGTGGTGTCATGAGAAACACAGCTTTTGTCAACATTTTTGGGTCTGACTTTTGGATAGTACTGCCACAAATTGGCAATTCTGTTTCCTAAGGAAGTAAAGGCCCTCGTTCCTGCAGAATCCTTTATCTGCCTTTGGAAGTTGAGTTTAGCTGGTCTCCCCCTGTATGGTTTTTGCACCTGGGGCCTCCTGACGGACAAACCATTTTGAATTTGGAAGGGTCATCTTCAGGCCCTGGATGGGACTGAGCCAAAGAATGTTCTATTTTTAGTGCTAGATTTCTTCACCTGAGGAGCCTTGGTGGCACAGTGGTTAAGCATTCAGGCTGCTAACCAAAAGGTTGGCAGTTTGAATCCACCAGCTGCTCCTTGGAAACCCTGTGGGACAGTTCTACTCTGTCCTGTAAGGCTGCAAGGAGTTGGAATCGACTCAGTGGCAATGGGTTTTTTGGTTTTTTTTCTTTGAAACCTGAAGGTTCAGGCTGAAGTCAGGTTTTATTTACCAGTAACACTTGGGCCCATTTTTGTAAACCGTTAGAATTTCCAGGAGTCATTCTGTGTGTGTTTTTTTTTTTTTTTTTGGGGGGGGCGTAGTCAGCATTTATGCAGTTAATAGTTAAGTAGATGAATTAGATTTTGTTAGAATGTGTTGTGTGCCTATGATGTTTTAAGAAAATAATTTTAATATCTACTATTTGAGAGCTGGGATGTAGATGGAAGAATATGACTGTGTGATTGACTTGAACTCAGTGTCTCTTTGGGGGAAATTTGAGGATCTCTGAGGCAGCATTTGGCATCTTAATTCTGTCCAATCATGATATGAATCCTTGAGAACACGTTAGAATGGTAATTCAACTGAACGCTTATTTTGTAAATGATAATAACTCCACAGTCGAACCCTGGTAGATAACAAAAGGCTCTGAAAAACTGTACTTTGATACTCATACTAGCCACCTGAGGTAGAGGCATTTAAAAAGAATCATATTTTCCCTTCCCGGCTGCCTATTTAACAGAGTGGAAATGAGTTTTTCCGAGGATGTTTTTAAAAAAAAAAGTAAAATTGTTTTATAACAGACATTTCAGAATACATTTTTTTTTCCTGTGTTTAAAACCTTTATTGATCTCAGTCAGGACGTAGTCTTGCTGAATAAAGAGGCCATACATAAAACTATACATTCTACATCAGTGGTCAGCAAACCTTTTTCTATAAAGGGATAGATAATAAATATTCAGGCCATTGAGTCACGTATGATCCTGTTGCCGATTCTTCGTTGTTTTTTTCCCTAAATTTTATTTATTCTGTTGTTGTTAAGAATATACACAGCAAAACACACAGCAATTCAACAGTTCTACACGTACAATTTGAGACATTGATTACATTCTTCGAGTTGTGCAACCATTCTCACCCTCCTTTTCAGAGTTGTGCCTCCCCCATTAATATAAACTCACTGCCCCCTAAGGTTCTTACCTAATCTTTCGAGTTGCTGTTGTGAATTTGATCCCATATAGACAGTTCTTAAAAGACCGTAATGCTCAAGGCAGGCCTTTTTTTTTTTTTAAACTAGTTAAGCTAAACTGTTGTTTGGTTTTAAGATCATGTGGGGGATGTTTTCAGAATCCATTTTTTAGCGTGCTTCAAGAGGGAATTTTCCATTGAGAGTTAGTGTAGTTTGTTTTTTGGTGTTTAAGTACGGGCTGGCTGTGTATACTGAAGTCTGCATTTGCTTTTCCCTTTACTCTTCACTCCCTGGGCCCCTCATCCCTTTAGGTGGGTGTAGAAATAGATTGGGTGTGTTTTGAAACAACCTCTGCAAGCATTGCTTTCTCTATTTTAGCTGCCGATGCAAAAGAGAAACAGTATTGGGTGACTCAGCTTCGAGCTTGTGCCAAATACCACATGGAATCGAATTCTAAGGTAAGTAGCAGTTGGGAAGCAGGGAGGTATTCAAATAACGTGGATGGCTACCATTCCAGCCACAATGATCCATTTCTTTGGGTAAAATGTTTTTTCGTGTTGCCTTCTAAATTATCCTCGTAATGGAATTTATGCGTCTCTGGCCACATTTAAATTTAAAGCCAGACAGAGCAGTTGGATTCTCTTGTAGGTAGAATACAGAGGCGAGCAGACAGTTTATGGAGACTGAGTCTGGGAAGACACTTCTGCTGCTTTCCATGTTGTCAGTTTAGGCAGCTGTTAAGTGGTCGGTTGAGAAGGCCAAGTGGATGATTTCATTCTGGAGTCAGATTTACATTTCATGAAGACTAGTTGTTGTCACTGATCCTTAAATAACATCTAGACCCTAAATTGATTATATACTCTGCAGGGATCTCCTGCATTTTAAGTGTGTAAAAATGTTCTCGGGTAATTTGGGATCCAAGCATGAGTTATTTCGTCGTTGGGATTTGGTACGACATCTTGTGTTAGATGTGCGGGAGTTATGAAATAGGCACTATCGTGGGTTCTTGTGCATGATTTCCTATCATTAAAATAAATCATTGCCGAATAAATTTAACCAGGGCAATAAATATTGGTTACAATTAAGGTTTAAAGGGCTGTCCCATTGATATCATTAGCTCAAATTTAGTTGCTATATCCAGTTGCTGTCATTTCTGTATTCTCGCACCTGGTAGACTCTCACTTGCGAAAGATTGCATATATTATGCCTGTCTGCTTTCTTGCTCAGGACTATGTGAAATGTCTTGCTTAGTTAGAGCTCCTGTTATGTCTGGGAATACAACTCCAAATGGTTTCTTACAGTGATGTTGGTCTTATTGTTGGTTGGTTTGTCTGTTCTTGCTGTAGAGCGGACCCCTTTCTTTGACTTGCTCAGGACAGGTGTGCTCACCTGTAATACCCCTCTTGACTTGCCCTAAAGCTGAATCTTGGGGGACTCATCGACAGGGCTCTACTTCTAAAGCTTTTTTTCCTTCTGGTCTCCTTGATTTTCCAGCATTTAATAGTTCTTCTGGACTTTTCATCGGTATTGTATACACAGCTAGGCAGGGCAGGTTTCTTCCTCCCTCTTTTATCTGTATCTTTTCGCTTTACTTTTATAAAACATAACAAAAAGGGATAAAATGAAAAGGGCATGTCTTTTCCCATTGCCTTCTATGCTCATTAGAGATAATCACAGTTATGGTTTCTTCTGTATCTTCCCAGTGATTTTAGGGTTGTGTTAGAATGTTTACTATGTGTATGGGTATATATCTATCTGTATCTGTACTACATCTTGTACAAATGGGATCATTGATAAGTATACTATTTTGCTTTTTGTTATTTTTTCACTTGTTAGTATATTTTGGGGATCTTTCTGCTTCAGAGAACATGGATCTACTGCAGATACATGGATCTGCTTTGGTCTTTTTAGGATGGCCAGATGGTGTTCTGAGGAATGGGTGTCAGTGCTTTATTTAACAGTCCTCTCTGGAGGACGTGGAGCATGCTTCCTTTTTTTGTTGTGCTGTTGGCATATTTAATGCTGTAATAAGCATCTTTGTACGTATGTTTTTGCATCTCTGGATGTGTATCTGTAGGCTGGATTTATGCCAGTGGAATTGCTGGGTCATAGGATATATGTCTTCTGAATTTTCTCGTTGTTATTGTTAGGTGCCGTCGAGTTGTTTCCTACTCGTGGTGACCTTAGGTTATAACAGAATGAAATGTTGCCCGGTCCCGCACCATCCTCACAATTGTTGGTGTGTGTAAGTCCGTTTTTATAGACATTGCTAAATTGTCTTCTAAAATTGCCCTAATTTGTACTCCCACCAACATTGTATGTGAGGCTGTTTCCTGTCTCATTCACTGTGGGTAGTAGTAACGTTTAGTATTTGATAGTTTCGCAGGTAAAAAATGGATACCTCATTATTTTCATCTCTGAAGTTATGACTGGGGCTGAGTATGTCTTTAAAATGTTTATTTAGCAACTTATATTTCTTTTATGTGAACTGCTATTTATATCCTTTATTTGTTCCATTGAGTTCATGCTTTTCTTGATTTGTAGTAGCTCTGTGTATATGAAGGCTGTTTGTCCTTTGCCTGTCACCTATATGGTAGATATTTTCTTGTAGGTCATTTGTATTTTGACTCTGCATAGTTTTTTTTTTTTTTTCCTAATATTTTATTGTACTTCAGGTGAAGGCTTACAGAACAGATAGTTTCTCATGTAACAGTAACACACATGCTGTTTTATGACATTGGTTAACAACCCCACAACATTTTAACCCTCTAAATTCTCAACTTTTTTTTTTTTTTTTGGTGAAAATACACATAGCCAAAGATACGCCATTTCAAAAAATTTTTTTTACATACACGTTTAAGTGACATTGACTACGCTCTTCTAATTGTGCTGTTATTCTCACTTAAGATGAAGGCTTACAGGACAAAATAGTCTCCCATTTAACAGTTACTACAAATGTTGCCCTATGACAATGGTTAACAATCTCACAACACATCAACAATATCCTTACTCTACTTTGTGTTCCCTATCATCAGCTTCCTACTCCCCTTCTGCCTTCTGGGCCTTATCACTGGACTCCTGTACCTCATTACTCTCATGGTTTTACTGGGCTGTCCACTCCCAGGCTGAACAGTGAACCTCGAAGGTAACTTCACCACTGAGCTAAAAGGGTGTCTGGGGGCCATACTCTCGGGGTTTCTCCAGTCTCCTTTAGGCCAGTAAATCTGGTCTTTTTTTTTTTTTTCTGCATAGATTTTTTGCTGGGTGGAATATTTAATGTTTTGTAGCCACATTTATAAATATTTCCATTTTTGACTTTCGGTTTTATGTTCTGTTTAGAAAGGGCTTCTCCGCTCCAAAACTATGAAAACATTCCCCATTGTTTTTCTCCTGTGATTTTATAGTTTATTATGTTTAAATAACTCATCTGGAATTTATTTTGGAAATAGGAAGTGAGGTAGGGGAACCAGCTCTAAGTGCCTGGATATTCTGATAAATCACAAGAGAGAAGGAAAGAGAAAGGCTCCTGATGGTAGTAAGAAAAAGGATGAGAGCTTTCTGAAGAATTTGATTTTCTGATGTAATCTCTATTTAGTTTCAGGAATACTGATAAAGTTATTAAATTTAATAGAACCAAATAGTGTTTAGAAGTTCACGCCTGTAGGATTCCTTATTTGAGAACTGGAGGTAAGATTGCTACCACCACTAATTTTATAAAAATAAATGAAACTACCTTTATCTTGATAACATAGCTATGGTGATCAAGTAGGAAACAATTTGAAAATTGTGAACAGACCTTGTTATTCAGTGGGTAACACTATGAAGCCTAAGGCTACTTGGGCTGAAGTTAGTAATGAAAATGAAGTTAGACTTAAAGTGAATATAAACTTGATATCCAGTTTAGCTGTAAGAATACTGTTTAATTTGCACCGTGGTCGTTAGGAATACATGCTAAGCTGAGGCCTTCTCTTTCTGCTGTATTCCTCATCATTCTCCCTTAGCTGGCTAGAGCCCTCCCCGATACATTATAGAGAGTATTCTCCCTACGGTGGCTTGGCCATTTCGCCTTTTATAACCTTGTTATTGACAATCAAGTGCTCCTTGGAACAAATATTAGGCAGATAAGACGGTGCTATCATTCAGGCTCACTTTAGTGAGAACTGCAGGATAACCAGGCTCGAAGAGAGAACTCTGGAGCTGAACAGGGCTGTCAAGATAACCAGTGCAGTGGTTTCTAAACCCAGACCTGTCTCTTGGCAGTCTCTGATGAGGCTTTCCCCAGTTCAGAAGTGAATGAGAAAAACAAGAAAGGAGTTGTACCGGAAGATACCTTTATTCAACATAAAGGACCGCTCTTTATTCAGAACTTAAAGTTGCTTTGCTTTTGAAAGATTAAAACATTCTTCCTTTTCCTTGTAGAATATGGTAGGTATTTATTTACTGCCTTTTTAAAAAAAGTCAGGTTTAATGAGGTCTGTTTTACAGGCAGTAAAGAAAACAAACAACATATTGCTTAAAGTTTTTAAAAGCGAAGATGTCACTTTGACTAAGGTGCACCTGACCCAAGCCATAGTCTTTTCCATTGCCTTATATGCATACGAAATTTGGACAATGAAAAAGGAAGATCAAACAGTGGACATATTCAAATTGAGGTTTTGTGGAAGAATATTGAATATACCATGAACTTCCAAAAAAAACAAACAAACTAGTCTTAGAAGTACAACCAGAATGCTTCTTAGAAGCAAGGATGGCGAGACTTTGGCTTACTTATTTTGGACTTTGTATTGTAAATCCTAACCTCTATGCCTGTGGTTATAATCCCACTTGGGAATGGCTTGTCTTTGTTATGCTAATGAGACAGGATTAGTGTAGGGTGTGTCTTGAGTCTTACCAGAGATAAAAGGAGCCGATTAAGCAAACAGAGGTGGGGAAGAGAGATGCCAAGCCTCATGGAGATCTCCCAGAAGCAGGAACTCAAGAGACAAGGATCTTCCTCCAGAGCCGACAGAAAGCCTTCCCATCGAGCTGGAGACCTGAATTCAGACTTCTAGCCTCCTAAACTGTGAGAAAATTTCTGCTTGTTAAAGCCACCCATTTGTGATATTTGTTATAGCAGCACTAGAAGACTAAGACTCATATATATAAATACCATATTTTTACGCAAATAACACACACCTTTTACGTTTGTTTGCCAACTGTGCCTTCCCCCTGTGAGGTATTTTGGAGAAATTTCCCGTCTATACCTATTTTATTGAGAGTTTTTATCAGGAGTGGGTGTTGGACTTCGTTGAATGCCTTTTCTGTGTCAATTGAGATGATCATGTGATTCTTGTCTTTTACTTATGTGGTGGATTGTGTTGATTGATTTTCTAAGGTTGAACCATCCTTGCATACCTGGTTGTGGTGTATTATTTTTTTGATACGATGCTGAATTCTATTGGCTAGAATTTTGTTGAGA